CTCCTCTCCAGAAATTTGTGAAGCGTGGAGCTCGAGAGCCTCCAAACACGCCCTAAGCTGGTCGACTAGTTCCTCATGCGGTGAGGTGGGACCATTATAAAGTACTCCCTTCGTCTCATAATATAAAAGCGATTTTGACACGTTTTTGACACTGCACTAGTGTCAAAATCGTTCTTATATTATGGGACGAAGGGAATATAAGCAATTCGTTCGGTCTTTTTTGACAGCCCAGCCGGTCCAACACGGACGTGATAATCGACGTACATATGTTTGCATGCATTAGGTGATTTGGAAATAGAGTTCGTGGTTGCAAATTGTAAAATTTAATGCCGTCCGGTTACTGTCCATAGGCGTGTCCGGGCATGTTCACGGACATTTGAGGACCCAAATTTACAGGTTGCAATTGTAGATGCGCTAATGTTCTCTTCCCCTGTTCTCTGTTGAGGATCGTGATCGCTTTTCTTTGCGGGTACATGGAAACTCAGCTCAAAAAAAGAAAGAGGAAACTAATGTAGTTGTGGCACACGTGCACATGTGGAAATGTGGAATTCCTAGTCGACTCGGAGACATTGTCGGGGTCGACGAGAAGAGAAGAGATGGACGCGGTCGTGGCCGTGGACCGCCTGGCCCGTCGTCAACAGAAGCTACAGCCGGCGGGGACGAAGCGCAAGCTCCCGGAGCCGCGCACTCTCCCTCCGCTCAGCACGCGGCTCAGCTCGGTAAACGCCAGGCATCGGGAGACCGCCGAGAAGTTTCTGGCGGACATTGCGTCCGCGGACGAGGTGATCCGAGAGCTCGAGGAGGCGCTGGCGAAGCAGGGCAACGACATGGAGCAAGGCTAGTTAGGCCTTGTACAATGGAAGGTGCTTAGGAGAGGTGCTTAGAGAAATAAACCAGACTTTTCTTAAGCATCGATGCTTATTTGTACTGGATAGACGCTTAATTAAGCGTCTCTCTTGTAGAAATAGGCACCGATGCTTAAAAAAACCGGTTTATTTTTTTAAGCATCTCTCTAAGCACCTTCCATTGTACAAGGCCTTAAGCAGACACGCGTGCGTCCAACACAGTCAGAGTGGGCAGATCGACACACTAGTCGATGGCGTCGATGCTACAGCCGATTCCAGGCCCTTCTCCTTTCTAATCGGAGGTGCAAGCAGAAACAAAATGAGCTGAAGATTGCAGGTTTTTTTTTTTTTTTGCGGTTGAAGAAGATTGTAGTTCTTTGTTTTTTTATATAGCTTATCACTCATGCCAAGTGATGAAGAAGATTGTAGTTCCAATGTGAGTAATCGTGGTGCTTTTCTTACGGTAATTCCATGGGTATGTATATGCGTCGTCCATGGTACTACTTGTTCACCCGTGGGTTACTCTAATCACTTGGTCCTTTGAGGACAAGCAATCATGGCAACACCGACTGAGATTTGTGAAGAGTGAAGTCTGATTTAAACCTTGAGGTTGTAGAGCTTGTCAAAAACGAACCTTCACCTTCGAATTCCTAAAGTCTGTACCCTGTACTTTCTAATCCCGGTCATTTTTAATCTTGATGCCTTTTTAAGAATGGGTTTGATGACATGGCAGGAAAAGACCGGGTTTGCTGACTTTTTGTTTAAACGAGTGCATGCATGCATGTCTGGTGCGTGGCAGCGTGAGTACATACTGCGTCGGTTGGTCGTTCTTTATTTTTGGCACAGGGGCGCCGGTCGATCAGACGCAGCGTACCTACGCTAGCTACTTCAACACAAAGGTATGCTTGTACGAGCAGCGCAAAATAAGATACATGTGTACGCGTACTTGCACACGCACCTGAGGATTGCGTACCTACGTGTGCACACTGCTAGCAACATCGTTTTGCTCGCCGACTTCCGACTGTTTGTACACGGCTTCATACACTGGCGAGCTGACAGCCGTCTCGCCGGCTCATGCTCATGCATCGCCGGGGCTGTCGCGCGCCTAGCTACCGGCCATCACATCACGCCGTCCCTCACCGTTCTTGGGAACCTGAAGTGAAGGTCTCCATGGACGTCAGCTCAGCCACGTACAACGTCGGCTTGGCCACCGGCGAGCGAGCATACCTCTCCGCCGGGGCATCCGCGCTGCGCTCCACCTACTTCCTCTTCTGCATCATGTATGCAACGCACGTCGCTGGGTGGGTCTCCAACTCTCCATACTGCAGCACACCCATTCGCCATGGCACATCTGTGAGGGCGCGAGGCGGCCGCAGCGTTGCAGCCATCGAAGCTGCACCAGGCATCTTCTTCCTTCCTCGCTACCCATGGTGCAGCTACTCGGTGCCTTGTATTCTTCCTACGATGCCTTCGTGCCGCAGCAGATCAGACTAAAGCAAACCCGTGGACGATGCCTTTTCTTGTGTGTGTTTGGTATAGAAGAGCTATCTCTGTTCACTTGATACGAAAGCTCGTTAGCTGGGTTGGTGCACAGGTTCCGCACTTCAACACATGTGCTGCATAACCCACCAATCCCGGCCATTCCCGATGCCAAACACGAAATCCCTGTTTTGGATGTGACCGCAAGGTTAAAAACGACCGGGATTAGAGAGTACAGGGCAAGGTTTTGGATTCCGAGTGGACCGTTTTTCTCGAGGGGGGGCGGTAAACTCGGTTACCACGGTAACCACGAAATTCCGGAAAAATTTCGAGCGAAATTTAAAATTAAAATTTGAATTCAATTTTTTTAAGAGAAGAATAGATAAGACTTGAGCACATAAAATAATTGACACTAGTGCTAGCGCAGTGGCAAGAGGTCTGCTCCAATGTCCTGCACATGCAGGTCGCGAGTTCGACCCTTGCACGCCCATAAATTTTAGAAATTACAGTTCTAAAAACTAAAAGGAAAAAGTGCAGCTGCACAAGACCAGCAGTAGCTGGTTGGATATCCCTACCACTGGGACGCGAGTATCCTTGTGTTACAGTAAGAGATATACCTTATTTAACAAGCCGATAGAAATTTAAATTCAAAAAGTTTGAATTTGGTACCCAAAACCATGGTACAGGGTACGGACTTCAGGGATTCGGAGGTGAGGGTTTGTTTTCGACAAGCTCTATAATCTCAGGGTTTAAATCAAACTTCACTCATTTCTGAATGATGTTTACCGAGATTTCTGAACCGCAGTCATGGCGCAGGCGTTGGATAAAAAGCGCGGAAAAGATGGATGGATTTTGTGGGTGGACCAGACAGTGAGAGCGGGCTTAGCAGTGGTTCGGACGCCCACCAAGTCTCTTTTCCTTCATTTTGTCACGGGTTTACAAAAAAAAGTGTCATCTATCAGCTAATTAGTACAAAGACCACATGACATATGTGGTAAGCAATCCAAACAATTTAAAAAAAATAGAGTCAATTACATCACAGGTGTCTGAACTTGGCGAGGAAAGTCAGTTTGATGCTAAAACTTGTGGCATACATTGAACCGGTGATAGAACTTGGCTTAGGCGTTCATCTACGGTGCTAATCACGTTTGTATACGCATAGTGATGACGAGGCGCGCCAACATGGCGTGGGACCCAGTGCCAATGACTAGAAGGCACATGCAAGGGCGTGTGCCTCGGTTTTTTATGAAACCCACCTTGGAATTTTAAAATTTTACTCACAAAATGACACTCAATTTTTTCCTTGAAAAAACGAATGAAACATCACTATGGCACTTGGGCCCCATAGTCAGAGCGGAAATTGGGACGCAAAATAATGCTGCGCACAGGATCGAACACACAACCTGTTCCCATCTGGCTGGACAGGCTTGCTACCACACCAAGTATCACTTCCTGTCAAAATACAATTTGTATCCTTAATGGACTGAATATAAACGAACACTCACATAAGGCTTAAGTGTGCAGCAGTCACCGCGGCCCAATTGCAGATCTTAGTTTTTCTTCCTTTCCTAGAATTCTTTAAAAATATCTAAGTTAATAATAATATTCATACAAATGTTCACCGCAAACCATCTCGTTTATGGTGGATGTAGGGGCTGTTGTGCCCAGTTAAACTGATATATGGTGTCGCTAGGTTTTCGTTCTGCAGTGGATAATCTCGATGGCCAGTGCTCACAGTGGGTTTCCCGATAATGCTCAAACCCGCTCTCCCCTCTCGTGTCTCTTTCTCTGGACTGGTGAATTTTATTAGTATTTATGAACTAACAAAAATCATGTGAAAAATGGTCCGCGGCTGTTGCTGCCCATTTAAGCCCAATTTTCGTGCTCATATATTGGTAATAACGTTTGTCTATCCCAGTGAGACATGTAGCCGGACTTGGGGGCGTGGCTAGCACGGACCCCATTTTAAGTTGAGGTCGCCGGTTTGAGTCCCCGCTGTTACTTTTGCATATTGATTTTCTCTTTGTACTGTTTTCTGCAAGGTGGGCCCCAACTGTCATAGAGACGTAACTACATTTTAGGACTCATCTAAGAAAAAAAATAAGTGGCTTTTTCGTGATGATAAAAATCCAGGGTGTTTCCCACAAAAATCAAACCACACGCCCTTGTCTCTAACTACTTGTCACTGAAACTGGGTCCCACGCCACATTGGCGTGCCTCGTCAGCACCCTGTGCGTATATAAACAAACATGATTTGCATCGTAGATGTATATCAAAGCCAAGTTTTATCACCGGTTCAATATACGCCGCAAGTTTTAGCACCAAACTGATTTTTCTTGCCAACTTCAGACACATGTGGTGTAATCAGTCAAACCACATTGGATAGTAAAACACGTCAGAACCGTGCGGTCCGGACAGTTTAAGCGTCCGTGTTGAAAATGTGCTAAGCACTATTTAACATCGAGAAATGTCTTCCTGGGGATCATCAACGGCAGAAATTACAATAGCTAAAGCAACAAGACATGCACTCGAGGGGATAGCTAGCCTGGTAGCGAACACATGCAGATGTCCAACACAGAACTACACACGTAGACCAACAACAACACATGCATCATCCTCTGCGGTTAACAGCATCGATCTTCTCCAGGATTATTGCCGCATGATCTAGCTAGAAGCCTAGAACTGCTGGAAGAGGAGCACCCAGGCCAGAAGAGTGCCTGTTATGACGAGCGACCCGCGCGCCGGCGCAGGGGCGCCCGCATGCGCATGGGCCGGCGCCAGGTCCGGGCCACCCGCATGCGCCAGCGCCGGGTCCGGGCCACCCGCTGCCACCGGCTCGAATGTCAGCTGGCCGCCGTCGCCATGAATGTCGTAGGTCATGGTCCTGCCCGTCTGCAGCAGGCTGCCCAGGACGGCCGCGCCGTTCGGCGACGGCAGTATGGTGAGGCACGTGCGCCATTCGTCGTAGATGGAGAAGTAGTTCTTCACATTGAGCTCCATCGCCGCGTCGGCGTCGTCGAACACCAGCGCTAGCCTTGGAACCTTAACGCTGCGGAAGTTCTCCTTGAGGAAGTACAGGTCGTCGGATGTGGCGTTCATCGGAGCTACGCCCTGTGACCGAATCCTGCTCGCGAGCTCCTGCCTCAGAACCTGGTACGCGGCCTCTGGGAGGAATGTGTAGGGAATTGTTGTGCTGAGGAACACCCCGCCGGAGCCGTCTTCCTTGACGGCGAAGGCCCCCGCCTGGATGTCGGCGAGGAGCTCCCCGTCGACCTGAATGCCGGTGAGGTTGACGTAGTAGAGGTAACTGTCCTGTTTGGTCGTGGCTAGCAGCAGCGGCGTGCTGTTGTTGCCCAAAGCCGGCGCGGCGCCCGCGTCGCCCAAGCCGAGGAAGCTGTTGTCGTCGATGAAATAGGAGAACTTGGAGACGTGGAGCTGCGAGACGAGGGAGAGTGGGGCCCTGCCGAATCCGGCGAAGCCAGAGACGCCGCCGAGGGCCCGCGCCGTGACGTTGTCGCTGCAGCCGAACACCATGCCGGGGACGGACTTGGCCCCGAAGCTGAACGTCTCGGTGGCGAGGTAGCCGGACATGGAGCCGCTGCCGTGGCGCTGGAAGTCCCATGCGTAATTGCAGTGGTCGTCGGGGTGGATGCAGTTGTCGTCGGGGGCCAGGCTCTGGCATGCCGTGTCCTTGCAGCCAATCGGGGCGAAGGAGCTGCCGGGCCTGAAGGTGGGCGCCTGCGACTGCGTGAACCCATGTTGGCCGCACTGCGCCCAGACGAGCTGCTCGGTGATGTCCATGACGAAGGAGAGGGTCTGCCGCGGCGTGCCGACGGAGAGGTCGAAGACGAGGGCGCCGAAGCTGTCGGGCGTGGAGGCGCGGGCATTGTCTGCGACCCAGTTGACGATCTTGGGGTTCGGCCGGACTGCCGCCTCCGACGAGCCCGGCGCCAGCGGCGCAACCAGGAGGAGAAGCAGGAGAAGCGAGCGCGCAGCTGGCATCGCTACGGCCATTGTGTGTTCTCTGGATGAACTACAAGGTAAGCTAGGCCGCCGTGTTGGCCCTGGCGACACGATATATACGGAAACTGATATTTGCTGGAGAGGCGACGCCGCAGCGACGTGCACATGGACGCCCGCCGAGGAGGAGTGGGTGCTTTAATTTGAAGCTGGTACGCGCTACGCGGTCGTAGCCCTCATCGACCGGGGAAGGAGGAGCAGCATCATTAACTGCGCCTGGTCTATCTCTATCCTGCATTGCTCAAACCATGCAAGCATTTGTTCTCTATCTATATGCGTATATGCTGCTGCGTAGTACTCGGTTGGCAAAAGGCCCCCTCTCAAGCACGGGCCTCACCATGCACCTCTGCCGGCCTCATGCACCCACGACTGCTAGAGAGGAGAGGACATTGATCTACCATTTCGAAAAAATATACTGTAATACGCATGTCATGTCACGGTCATCAGTTCACACACTCTCTGCTACTCGAGATTACTTATTACCTACTAGTAACACCGATGTAATGCTGGAGCACAGTTAACAGGATGCATGGTCGCACAAATTGCCCAAAGTTTCGAACGTCATTACGGGAGAACACATGTATTTACTCCCTCTGTCTTGAAATACTTTATTAGACTTTTTTAATTAGTTAGGGCATATCCAACACTGACCCGCAAACGAACAAGGAGGAGTCATCCATCAAACCCTATACCTCCGTGTGATCACTAATGCTTTTCGCCAAACATGCGTTGGAAAAAAAAAACAGAGAGGCAAATAGCCTTCCACCAACACATGCATGTACTAATCAAATCACTTGGGGAAAAAAGTGAAAATAAATTCATCTGACAAACATTAGCATTGTACTCTTTCTAAAAAAATATAAAAGCAATTTTATTACTATTTTAATGATCTAAACGCTTTTATATTTGTTTACAGAGAGTAAGTAGGATCCTAATGATCTTAATTACAGGTGCTTCCGCCGTGTACATGACTCCCTTCCGTCAAACAAGGACGAGGGACTTGTAGCGCAAATTTGTGCACATTCTGTTCAATTTTTTTCGATAAAGGTGAATTTTATTGGCTTAATATGGAGCATCAAGAGGATATAAACACAACGAGCACACAGCCGGCCTCTGCACAATTAGGATGCACACAGCCAACACAAACACACACACACACAAAAGACGCCGGCAAATAGCAAAGTCATATAAGACCAAAGCTATGCATATGCGAGGAAAAAAACTCCAAAATGAACAAATCCACGGTCGACAAACTACAACAATGACCATATCTGCATCATTCATCTCATGACACCACATGGACGATGAGATTCTTCAACGGCAACACCTTCAGGAAGGGAGCGACGCTCAAGCGTCGTCGTCGCCGGATCCAACCACCAAAGGTCAGAATCAAAGTTCTCACCTTGAAGATCGAGTCCGAGCATATCCAGGCAATGTCTTCAACAAGATAACGACGTAAAAACATCACCATTGCCAGGTATAACCAACTCAGGTCAGACCTAGGCTTTCACCTCGGAGCTTGAGACTGGGTACTCGAGTAGCACCGCCATTAGTCACTAATGTGTTGTCGCCACCACTTTTCCACGATCCCAGCAGTTATGCGATGTGAACAACGTGGCTACACAACCATTCCTCTGCATCAAGTTATCGTCGATATTTTGCATTTCCGCCGAAGTCAACCACCTGATCTGAAGAGAGAAACCCTCTCAATGATCTTTCGATGGCCACCATAGTCCGCAGCGAGGCCATCGCCGTAGGCCGGAGTGGTCGCTAATGACCATCACCAAGAATGGAGCACACCACTGTCTGACTACCGCCTCGTCAGAGAAGCTCTGTCCAGGTCCGTTAGCCCAAGGGCCGATATGGCCAAAACAGGAGCACGAGCCACAGATCTACATCGCCGGCGTGGAGAGCGGCCGCCGCTAGATCAGCAACGCATAACCCGGTTCGGCGTCATGCTTTCCAATCGGAGCACTGTGCCCGTCTTGAGCACGTCCACTGTCACGCCTCAACCACGTCCTCACGCCGCCACCGGAAGCTCATCGGCATCTGACGTGCCCATGACCATAGCAGGGTCGCCAGCCACCGCCCTTGTATAGGGCCATGCGTCGCCGCCCTTCCATGGAGTGGATCTGTGCACATCGGCGATTTCCAGTGATTTGTACTCCCTCCGTTCGGAATTATTTGTCTCGGAAATGGATGTATCTAGAACTAAAATACAACTAGATACATCCATTTTTACGACAAGTAATTCCGAACGGAGGGAGTACATGCCAACCGCATCTTTACTGGGAACTCAGCCACGATGAAGGATGGGCAGGCCGAAGCGCAGCGTAAGAAGGATTGTTCATTGAGGACCTTGGAGTACATGGGAAGGGAGGGAGGATGGCCCGCTGCCACCGTCAGCCCGGGGCTTTGCCCGGCGACGTCGATCGGCGACGATGGAGGGGCGAGAGGATGTGAGGAGGAGCCTGCAGCGGCCGATGGGTGGCCGCCCGAGTCGCCCTAGCGAGCGACGCGAGGGCAGTTACGAGAGAGTCATTATTTGATATGATTAAATTCTGAAGTACATATTTATCCACTGCTTTATGAACTGGAACAGAAGTACTGATCAAATTTTGAGTACGTACCATATATGATTGTGAACATTGAGTCTAGAAACAAAGTTAAAAAGCTCAATATGTGTCCCCATATTGAAGGGCTGGTACGCGCTACGCGGTTGTAGCCCTTTGGAGCATCGATCGGTGAAGGAGGAGCAGCGTCATTAACTGCGCCTGATCGATCTCTATCCTGCATTACCCAAACCATGCAAGCATTTCTTCTCACATGCATGCTGCTGCGGTACTCAGCTGGCAAAAGGCTCCCCTCTCAAGCACGGGCCTCACCACGTGAACCTCCGCCGGCCTCATGCAGCCCCCTTCCTCATTTTTCTGCCTGCAGCACACAGCTGCTAGAGAGGAGAGGGCATTGATATACCATTCCAAAAATACGCTTTGTCATGTCACGGTCGACGGTTCACACACTCTACTACTCCTACTCGACATTATTACGTACTCCAACATCATTATAGCAAATCTATTATGACCACCCAAGGGCTAGGTGTCCAATAGCATTATGGGTGACACATACGTCCCATCTTATCCTATATGCCTAAGAGAATAATTTTAATCATATTTATTTATCTAAACATGCAGGGTGTCTGCATCAATATCAAGCCACACCAGCAATTCTTGACCCATGTCACCGGGGGCGGAGCCAGGATGAAAATCAAGAGGGGGCAAAGATATACATGATTTTTTTCTTTTTGGGAACATGTATTTGAACTAAGAGTGAAGTGCACTATAGGTCCTCAAACTATTTCAGGTGTGTCACATACGTTTTCGAACTATAAAAATCGTCATCCAGATCCTCAAAGTGTAGTAAGTGTGTCATTCAGGTCCAAAATCTCGCTGACCCTCTCTAACCGACCAGTTGGCGGCGTTAATCGTAAACAATGAAACTGTGAACCATGAACCGTAAAATAGCGCTCAGTTCCGAACATCATTTCTGTATGCGATGAACAGTGCATGATGAACATATAAAATACAAAAAAACTGAAATTCTTTGGCATCGAAAATACCCTTGTGCGTGAACAGTAAAAATGTTCATTAATTCAAAAAATGTTCGCGAATGATGAATTTAGTAAAAAATATTGGTGACTTTAATAAAATAATGAATTTGGAAAATAATATTCATGACTTTAATAAAATGTACTTTAAAAAATGTTCACGAACGATGAATTTGGAAAAAATATTCACGACTTTAATATAATGTTCGTGACTTTAAAAAAATGTTCGTGAAGGATGAATTTGGAAAAAATATTCGCGACTTTAAAAAATTGTTAGCGAACGATGAATTTGGAAAAAATATTCGCGACTTTAAAAAAAATGTTCACTAACATTTATTAAATTCGTGAATATTTGTGGTTCACCAACATTTTTTTAAAGTCACGAACATTTTGTCCATACCCGCGAACAATATTTGTGGTTCGCAAACATATTTTCAAATTTCTTGTTTGTGAACATTTTTCTAAAGTCACGAATAACTTTTGCATATTCATGAACATTTTTACTGTTCACGCACCAAGGTATCTTCGATGACAAAGACTTCCAGTTTTTTCTTCTGATTTTTACTGTTCATCATGCAATGTTCATCACATAAAAAAATGATGTTTGAACTGTCTGTTTTACTGTTCAATGCTCACGGTTAACAGCGCCAGCTGGCTAGTTAGAGAAGGTTTAGGAGATTTTGGATCTGAATGACATACTTACTGCACTTCGAGGATCTGGATGACGATTTTCATAGTTCAAGAACCTACGTGACACCTCTGAAATAGTTCGAGGAACTACAATGCACTTCACTCTTGAACTAATGGCTAGATAATCGTGTATCTACAGGGCAGTACAACCGTAGGCGGCGGCGCGGGGGCTTCTGGTCGGCAATGCGGTCATGCAAGCACAAGCAATGAACACGCTCGTTACTACTCCCTCTGTTTCTAAATATTTGTCTTTCTAGAGATTTCAAATGGTCATCACATACGGATGTATATAGACATATTTTAGAGTATAGATTCACTCATTTTGCTCCGTTTGTAGTCACCATTTGAAACCTCTAAAAAAACAAATATTTAGGAACGGAGGGAGTAGGTTTCTAGTGAATTGCAAACCATCGTACGCATGAGGCCTGCTCGCCTGCTCGTAATTCTCGCTATAGATGGATAGCTGGGCTAATAACTGATCTATTTCTCATACATGGGCTTTAAAAATACGATGGAAAATAAAGGAGTTGGGGCAAATATCTCGACCTGAGTGGGGGCAACACTGAATATCCTGGGCCTAGCATAAGTGGCCCAAAAAAACGAGTGGGGGCATTCGCCCCCATTGCGATGCACGTAGATTCACCCTTGCATGTCAACACACATGTGCTAGAAATATTAGCACATTCGATTAATCGAA